GAATGGCCCTGGGAAGATGCTTCAGACTTACGTGCCCAAGGCTGAGCCCGTTGAAAACAAGATGCGCGCCTTCCTGACGCCATCTGGCGAATCCTTGACCGCAGTTGCGGAGTTCGAGCAAAGGATGGCGCGCAGGGAACGCGACGATTGGGTGCGCCATCCCTTCAGAGTGAAGCAGGGCAACCTCGACGACAAGATATGGCATGGCGCCTTCGGCAGGGCGAGGCACGGAGCGCACTTCCCTCTGGTGGCTTTCACGCACAATACGTGCCGCAGGTCACCTGAAAGACTCGCCGCGAGGTTGGAACGCAGGAAGGGCGGCAGGAAGGGCGGCAAGAAGGGCGGCAAGAAGGGCAGCTACGCGGACACCGCAGTTGCGGGGAAGGGCGTCCGACCCCAGATGGGAACCGCAGTTGCGGGGAGAGACGCTGGGGCTGAGCGAGCTGGGAACACGCCACCGCCGCAAGCTGCCAACGGCGACGATGCGACCCCTTCTTGGGCCGCAGTGGCGGCTGGGTCCTGGGACGCCAGCGGCAGCGGCGCATGGGAGGCGCGCAGTCCCGCCACGAGATGGCAGGGCTGGTCCTGGTGGGACTGGAGCTCGAGCGAATGGGGCGCTGATGGCGCGCAGTGGTGGCCCTCTGATCATGCCGCAGTTGCGGACAATGCCCCTGAGGGCTCGCCTCCTCAGCGTGAAGTCGAGTGGGGCTCGAGCGGGCGACCTGCCGAGCGCCCTCCGTGGAGCTTCGAGGGGCAGTGTTGGTGATGGCCGCAGTTGCGGGCAAGTGGAACATGATGTTGATTGCCGCAGTTGCGGACAGTGTACGCTGGAAAAATCATCATCATCATCAATCATAATCATCATCATATCATCATATCATACGTTCAAAGCAGTGCCGGGGCACTGCTTTGAACGCGTTCAAAGCAGTGCCGGGGCACTGCTTTCGATCGTCGCCTCGTCGCAGTTATAAGGGCTATTGGATTACGTATAGGTATATGTGTATACATATACACATATACATATATACATATGGAAAGAGAGAGAGTGAAGGAAAAGAGAGAAAGAAAGAACAATAGAGAGCGATAGAGAGAGAGAGAGAGAGAGAGAGAGAGAGAGATCCCTGGGCACGAGGCGCGGGGGCCCAGGGCCCCGGGCCCCCGGCCGGCGCCGTGGGAGGGCCGCGGCGGCCCGGGCCGTGCCGAGATGGGGCCCCGAGGCCGTCCGGGCAGCTCGGGTCTCTGGGCGCCCGGGAGGGGTACCGGAAGAAGTCCCTTCTCCTCTTCCTCCTCCTCTTTCTCCTCCTCCTCCTCCTCCTCCTCCTCCCCCCCTCCTCCTCCTCCTCCTCCTCCTCCTCCCCCTCCTCCTCCCCCTCCTCCTCCTCCTCTTCCTCCTTCTCCTCCTCCTCCTCCTCCTCCTCCACCTCGCCATCTGCGGGGGGCCCGCCGGGGGCGTCGTCCCCGGAGGGCCGCCCCTAGGCGCCTGTGCCGTGGCCCGAGGGTGCGCCTCCAGCGGGCGGCGAGCGAGGGGGGGGGGGCGAAGCGAGGAGGAGAAGGCCGCCTTTGGAGCAGGGGCCAGGGCATGCTCTACGAACGTGTCTCTCGGCGCCCGAGGTGGGCACGGGAAGGATGGGTGCGATGCCCAACGGCAGTGCCTGTTCACGTTGAGCAGGATTCGCTGTCCACGCCGCCGCGGCCCGTGTCCATTCGAGACGGAGGGCCGCCTGCCCAACAGCGGCCGCTGTTGGTTTGGGACAACATTTGTTGTTGGGCATTGTACCCATTCTTTCCGTACCCATTTCGGGTTCAAAAAGTCAGGGGGAGAGACAGGGGGGGGGGGCACAGGCATAGGCTGCAGTCGGGCCTATCCCTCTACAGGAGGAGTATTCAAAAGTAGTCAAAAAAACAATCCGGACGCCCGAAATGGGTACGGAAAGAATGGGTACAATGCCCTACAGCAGTTCTTGTTCACTTTGAGCAGGATTCGCTGTCCACGCCGCCGCGGCCCGTGTCCATTCGAGACGGAGGGCCGCCTGCCCAACAGCGGCCGCTGTTGGTTTGGGACAACATTTGTTGTTGGGCATTGTACCCATTCTTTCCGTACCCATTTCGGGCGTCCAAAAAGTCAGGAGGAGCGACAGGGGGGGGGGGGGGCACAGGCATAGGCTGCAGTCGGGCCTGTCTCTCTGCAGGAGGAATATTCAAAAATAGAGAAAAAACAGTCTGGGGCGTCTTTTGCTCTAAAGTTGTTTTTGAGCATTTGGGGGGCATTGTTGAACTATGTTTAATTTTTCGTCCAAAATCGGCCTGTAGGGGGACAGGCCCGATCTAAGCATAGGCGGAGATGCATCGACCTCCAATCGCCCATCGATCGCCGATAGGGGCCCAACAACCCCAGCCTGCCCAGGAACGTGCGGATTCACTGTCGGAGGTCTATCGCCGATCTATCGGCGATCTATCGCCGATTCCAGGTCGATGTTTCCCCCCCTATCCCTATACCCCCCTATCGTTGCCCCTCATCAAGGGATGGTCCCGGACGCCCACAGCGCGCTCCCAGAGGCCCCAGGTGGACCTCAAGAAGGGCCGGAGGTTCCCTCGATGCCTCCAGAACTTCCCCAGACGCTCGCCAAAATGGAGCGTTTCCCAGCAGAAAATACACCTGTTCAGCAACCGTGCGCTTGAGGTCCCCGCTGCGTCTACGACGGTGCCCGAGGCGCGCCCCCAAAGACGGTCCAAGACAAGCCCAAAGGAGCTCCCCAGACTGCCTCGTCGGCCCTCCAGAAGAGGCCCGGACCGTGCCTGGCCGGGCCCTGAGGCCGTCCAGAACGCCCAAGGGACGTTCGATACCCCCCCAGTGCGCTTCAAGATGCCCCCTCTGGACCTCAAGTAGGGCCTGCAGTCTTACAAGTCGCATCTAGAGCCTCCCCTGACGCGCCCCGAGAGGACGTCGGGAGATCAAGATTGGGAAATCCCCCACGGACAACCGGATTTGCAGCAATCGCGCGTTCAGGCTCTCCACTGCATTTACGATTGCGCACGAGGCGCTCCAGGGATCCCCACGACGGCCCACGGAACCCCCAAGACGGCCCTGGAAGACCCCAAAGGGTCTCCCCAGACAGCGTGGGAGCCTCCACGGAGGAGGCGGAGCGTGCCAAGAGGGGTCTTGAGGCCGTCCAGAGCACCCAAGGAACGTCCGAGACGCCCGCAGAGTGTTCCACGACGCCCCATCTGGACCCTGCAGGCTCCCAAGACGCCTCCGGAGCCTGCGATGGGCTGCGCCACGTAGCTTGCCCAAAGTAGACTGCGCAGCACAATTTGCACCGCATAGAATGCACTGCACATATTGCACAGCCCACATTGGACATCATGGATGGCACCACAGAGATTGCATCACACATACTGCGCACATGTATTGCACAACGTATTGCACCGCACAGGCTGCGCCACACAGACCACACAGCATAGATTGCACCTCGTAGATTGCACCGCGCAGGCTGCCCTACGCTGATTGCATCACGTACATCGCGCCACATAGGCAGTGCCACATAAACTACATAGCATCGATTGCACAGCATCGAGTGCATAACATCGATTGCGCCACACCGCACCGCATAAATTTCATAACGCAGGCTGTGCCACATATCTTGCACCACGCAGATGGCACAACTTCGATTGCCAGAGAGACAGGAATTGCGGGTCCATGATGGCCAACATATACATCTCTGTATGTATTGACATCTCTATACACACATCTGGTGGATCCCAGCCCCGAGGCCGCGGACCGGGACTTCCCCTGTACATGATTGGTACCGACGACGACGACAACGACGACGCCGGAGGGCGACGACGACGACGGGCGACGACGACAGACGCCGATGGACGACGACGGCCACGGCGACGACGACGATGACAGACGATGATGACGAGCGACGACGACGACGGACGACGACGACACTCTCGGACGACGACGACGACGACGACGACGGACGACGACAGTCGCCGACGGACGACGACGGACGTCGGACGACGACGACGACGACGACGACGACGGACGACGACAGTCGCCGACGGACGACGACGGACGACGACAGTCGACGACGGACGACGACGACGACGAAGACCACAGACGACGACGGACGACAACCGCGACGACGACGACGGACAACCACGACGACACGTTGCCGACGACGCACTACGACCACAAGGACGACGTACACTGCGACGACGGACGATGTGGACGACGACGACCACGATGAGGACGACGACTGACAACGACGGACGAGGGCCGACGACGAAAATGATGCCGACGGCGCCGACCATTAACGACGACGACAACGTCGGCGACGACGGTCGACGACGACGAACGCTGACGGGCGACGACGGTCGACGACGGGCGAAGACGACGACGACCACGGACGACAACGGACGACACCGATTACGACGATGATGACGACGACCGACGAGGACGGACGAGCGACGACCACGTTGCCGACCTTGGACGACGACGACCACCACGACGAGGGCGACGGCGACGACAGACGACACACGACGACGACAACGACGGACGACGACGACGGACGACGACTGTCGACGACCGACGACGATGGTCGACGATTGGCGAAGACGACGTCGACGACCTCGGACGACCACGGACGCCACCGATTACGATGATGACGACGACGGACGGCGACGGACGAGGACGACCACGACGACCACGTTGCCGACGACGGACGACGACGACACTGACGACGGACACCACGACGACGAGCACGAAGACGACGACGACGACGACGACGACGGACGACGGACAACGACGGACGACGACGACGACCACGACGACGACGTCGATGACGGACGACGACGGACGGCCACCGACGAAGACGACCCCGACGACGACGACGACGTCGACGACCGACGACGACGACGACGACGACGACGGCGACGGCGACGGCGACGGCGACGATGGCGGCGACGACGACGATCTCCACGATGACCGCCGCCAGGTGGGTGCACGGCATCGCGAAGGGCTGCGGCTTCCCCGAGCCCACCCGACAGAGGGAGCGCGGGCAGTGGGCCCCGCCCCTCCCCCGGCCCCGCGCCCGCGGCCCCGCCGGCGCCGCCGCGCCCCCCCCTCCTCCTCCTCCTCCTCCTCCTTCTCCTCCTCCTCCTCCTCAGCTCAAGCAGTGGCGAAGCACCCTGACGTGGCCACATGCCCACAAGCAGTGTTCTCAGGACTTTTTGACGTCTGCACGGGTCGTCCTCAGCACAGTTCTGGCCAGGGCCGCCCTCTTTTATCACACAGGGTTTCTCTGCTGAGCACGCTGTTTTTGTTGAGAATCTTTGGGGGTTCTGTTAAAATTCCGTGGTAGGCCTATAAGACTGCCGGGACGGCCCGTGCCTGCTCAAACAGCGGATCCAAGCCGACCCGTGCCAGAACTCCGGGCCCAGTGGCCCAGGCCTCCTCGGGTTGCACAACAAATCACGACGGGAAGTGTTTCGTCATTTCCAGCTTTTTGGGGGCCTCTACAGAGTCTCTCGGCCACGCGCAGAGGGGGGTGGTGGGAGGGGGGAAGGCTTCTTAGAAGCACCCCTGCTTAGAAGGCGCGGGCCTCCTCTATACATGTAGAGCCCGCGCCTTCTAAGAAGCAGCCCCCTTCTAAGAAGGCTTCCCCCCTTCCCATATCCCTTTGTGCGCGCCGCCAAGTCTCGGGACAGGCAGAAACGACTCAAGATGACGAAACGGGTCCAGGGAGTGGGTCGAGACCTCTTGGGGTCGACGTTGTGCAAAGAACACGACGTCGGGGGTCTGGGGTCATCACGACCCGTTTTCATCTTCCATGTGCCCTCAGCGGGCCCCATCCGCCACCCCAAGGAATTATACTATGCCCAGAAGCCTTGGGGAGTAGGCGACGGTCCTGGTCGTAGGTGTGGTATACGAACTTCGCTTCTGCTGGCGCGGTTTTTGTGTGCTGACGTGGCAACGGGCGGTGGATCCTGACTTGTGCGAGGAGGGTGTGGCACACAAGACATCGAAGAGGGGCACCACGCGCAGAGGGTGCCGCATCCCGAGGGGAGGTGACACGTTCTTGGCCGCGCAGGCTCTGCGAAGGGGCACCGCACGTGCAACTCCAACCTCCGAGGCAGCACTATAATCCTCGGGCGCGGTACAGTCAACGCGCCCAGAAAGGACGCGCGCCTGCATCTAGGGTACCTTTGTGTCCTTGCCTCTGCGGCCCGTCGTTTCCTGTTTTCACTGGTCGCCCGCCGCCCACAAAATCCCAACTTCGGCTTCCAAGAGTCTTGCGTCCTTACCACCCGTCCTTATATACGTGTTCACTGTACCGTGTATTGCATGGGACATACAGATGGGGCTGGCATAGGTTTCTGATGTGTCGTATGCTCCTGGACTTCAGGCGGATCGTGATTTTCATTGTTCCCGACGTTTTTGTTGTGTTTCTTTGCTCGCGGGGGCGCGTGTCGTTTCCCTGGACAATCAACAATTGCTCCGGGGCAGAAAACAATCCCCAGGGAAGTGGTCGAGGCCTCCCGGGGCTGCTTATTGAACAGATCATATCGTCGGCTGTACATGAGACTGACCCCCTGCTGGAGTGACCTTGGGTGCGGGCCCGAAGGGTGCCTCCAACACTGGCTTGCGCGCGGGGGGATTTGGCCTTCTGAATGGCCCCGCGCAGTAACAGTGAACCTTGGTTGCGTCCTCCTCCTGTGTGTGATCGAAGCTGGGTCTTGTCGTCTTGACGCTGCCAGACGTAGGCTTTGAGTTGGCTATGTATGTGGACCACTGTCGGAGTGGTCTTCAATCATATCTTTTTGGTGATTTTTGAAATATCGGCCTCAGGGGATCGCTTCCGGGCCCAAACACGTGCAAACATCAAACATGGATACGGGACGAACGCCCCCAGTGAAGGGGTCGAGGCGAGACTTCTGGCGCCAGCGGATTGTACAAAAACCATCCGTCAGAAGTTTGGACTCTGGAGGCTTCCGAAAGTTGCCGCGATATCTTCCGAAGGCCTCTTCGAGCATCCTCGGCCCGTCGGAAGTGCGGACTCGTATCAGATCTCCCCGTTCGATTCACATCGCATTCTCTGGAGCACGATCGCAAAACTCGATCGGGACTCTCGAACGCAACATGAATTCGATCAGGAACCAGTCAAACAACCAGTCAAACATGATGATTGTATGCTCTTCTGGTCCGCGGTTTGCGCCCCGTCCGAGATGCGTTGTGGTCTTCTCGCCCCGGTCGCCTTCTTTCCGGCCTCTCCTCCTCCTCCTCCTCCTCCTCCTCCTCCTCCTCCTCCTCTTTCCCGATTCATCGGCGATGAGGCGCGACCCTCGGGCCCCAGCTTCGCTGGCCTTGCTCCAGGGAGGCCTGCATCAGGAGGGGAAAAAACACGCAGGCACAATTCATCGTCCATTCCCTAGAAAATACGGCAAGATATGGGAAGTGGGGGGGGGAAGACGAAAGCCCAGAAAATATAAGAAAATATGGGGACTATTTCCCTACCTAGGCTCTGCCTAGAAGGGTTCTTACTCTCTAGCTTAAAGGGGCCGGGCAGTGCTACACGCCCCGGGCGGTTCCCCCAGTCCCCGCCCCGCGGTTACCCCAGTCCCCTGGGAGCTTTAGCCTTAGCTTTAGCTTTAGCTTTAGTTTACTCAGCTTTAGCTTAGCTTTAGCAAAACGTTAGCTTAGCTTTAGCTTAGCTTTAGCTTAGCTCTAGCTTAGCTTCAGCTTAGTGTTAGCTTAGCGTTAGCTTAGCTTTAGCTTAGCTTCAGCTTAGTGTTAGTTTAGCTTTAGCTTAGTGTTAGCTTAGCTTTAGCTTAGCTTTAGCTTCGATTTAGCTTAGCTTTAGCTCAGCTTTAGCTTAGCTTTAGCTTAGCTTTAGCTTAGCTTCAGCTTAGCTTTAGCTTAGCTTTAGCTTAGATTCAGCTTAGATTCAGCTTAGCTTTAGCTTAGCTTCAGCTTAGCTTTAGCTTAGCCTTAGCTTAGCTTTAGCTTAGCTTTAGCTTAGCTTCAGCTTAGTGTTAGCTTAGCTTTAGCTTAGCTTTATCTTTAGCTTTAGCTTAGCGTCAGCTTAGTGTTGGCTTTAGCTTTAGCTTAGCTTTAGCTTAGTGTTAGCTTAGCCTTAGCTTTACTTTTAGCTTAGCTTCAGCTTAGCTTTAGCTTAGATTTAGCTTAGTGTTAGCTTAGCCTTAGCTTTACTTTTAGCTTAGCTTTAGCTTAGCTTTAGCTTAGCGTTAGCTTAGCTTCAGCTTAGTGTTAGCTTAGCTTTAGCTTAGCTTTAGCTTAGCTTCAGCTTAGTGTTGGCTTAGCTTTAGCTTAATGTTAGTTTCGCTTTAGCTTAGCTTTAGCTTAGCTTTAGCTTAGCTTTAGCTTAGCTTGAGTTTAGCTTTAGCTTAGCTTTAGCTTAGCTTTAGCTTAGCTTTCGCTTAGCTCTAGCTTAGCTTTGGCTTAGCTTCAGCTTAGCTTTAGCTTAGCTTCAGCTTAGCTTTAGCTTAGCTTTAGCTTAGCTTTAGCTCAGCCTTAGCTTAGCTTTAGCTTAGCTTTCGCTCAGCTTCAGCTTAGCTTTAGCTTAGCTTTAACTGAGCTTTAGCTTAGCTTTAGCTTTAGCTTTAGCTTAGTTTTAGCTTAGCTCCAGCTTAGCTTTAGCTTAGCATTAGCTGAACTTCAGCTTAGCTTTAGCTTAGCTTTAGCTTAGCTTTGGCTTAGCTTCAGCTTAGCTTTAGCTTTAGTTTTAGCTTTAGCGTAGCTTTAGCTTAGCTTTAGCTTAGATTTAGCTTTAACTTTAACTTAGCTTTAGCTTAGCTTTAGCTTAGCTTTAGCTTAGCTTTAGCTTAGTGTTAGCTTAGCCTTAGCTTAGCTTTAGCTTAGCTTTAGCTTAGCTTCAGCTTAGCTTTAGCTTAGCTTTAGCTTAGCTTTACCTTAGCTTTACTGTTACTACGAATGCTGCTTTCCTAGGGGCTCCAACTCCTAGGTAGGGTCGCACGGGGATAATTACTTGTGTGTATTTGTTTGTGTGCCCTGGGGCCCCTTCAAATTAGCTGGGGCCAGAATCTGGTCAACATCTGTCCCTGGGCCCCACCAGGGGTCCAACCTGGTGCAGTCGTTCCCGGCGGATCCGTTCTTGACGCTGCTGGGAGCCGGAAGCGGCTCCCGGCGGCCGAAGAGCCTCGTGCCTGCCCGGGCCCGTCCTTCCTGCTCGCCGGAACCCGTGCTGGGACACCTCAGACCCCCAGCCGGCTCCTATCTAGGCCTCCCAGATTTTGGTCGGGGTAGAGGATCGCGCCGCATCGCTGATGCGTCGACGATGCGGCTCGATGTGGAGCCAGATTTTTTCACGCCGACGGCGCTGATGCATCTCCACGCCGACGGCGCTGATGCACGCCGACGGCGCTGATGCGGAACCCGTCCTGCGGCGCGATCATCTGACCCCACCTACCCGGACCCCATCTAGGAGGCCTCTATCCAAGGGTGGAGCTTGTTGTAGCCGTTATAACGCCACTCCCCTCTGATTCGTTTCTTTCCTCGTGGCTGGCCCATGTGCGCCATTTGGTTTGACATTGCTACATGGGCACAGCAGCCCTGCAGTCTAAAACATTTGCAACGTCCAAAACAAGAGACCAGAGAGCTCGCTGGAGTGGCCAGCGATGACAGGCTGCTTCGGTGCGAGTGCAGCGTTACTGTCGTTCCGCTGCGGGCATGCTTCGGCTTCGGACACTCGTTTCTCCCCCGGTGTCTCTTGGCACAATGCGCAGATCTTGTTGGTTGTTCATTTCTCTTCTCCATGCCCCTCTTTCCCTTTGGGCACTCCCGGCGAGCCCGAGGCCCGGTGGCATGCGCCGTTTTTTGTCGTGCTGCTCGGGAGCCCCGTGGGCACCTGCAGATCGAGACGGGCCGTCAGGGCAGCATCCCGCGTACACTTTAGGCGATGCTTCAGAAAACCCAAGTTTTCGGCCAGAGTCTCGATTATTCTTAATGTTTCAATGTAAATCCCAAGATTTGAATAGACATTCTGGGTTTTTATTCAAATTCTGAGACTATGAATTTCTTAACCCATGATTTCTAAAGCATTTCGCAGGGTGTATGTGCCCTTCCAACTTTCGTGCCGCACCAGTCCCCGCCGGACGCGCGAAAAACGAGCTCCGCTCGAAGAAGCACAAAACGGCACAAACATAAACTCTGGGCGCTCCGCGCGGATTTCTTGGAGCCGCGCTGGGCCCCCCCCCAGGGGCGCCGCCGGCGCCGCCCCTGGCGCGCTCCGCGCGCCAGGGAGGGGGGGCCAGCGCAGATCCAAGAAATCCGCGCGGAGCGCCAAACGTTTGTGTGCTTGTGCCGTTCTCGTTCTTCTTCTGTCCGCAGGCGTCGGGGGACGGTGGGGTCAGGGCACGAGCGTGGAGGTGGGGCCAGGGCACGACCGCGGATGCTCAACGCGCCCCTCCTCCAGGGACTCCTTTTGGGGGGGGGCGCCGGCCCTCGGAGGCCCCGCCGCTGCCCCTCGGACCCCCTCCTCCTCCTCCTCCTCCTCCTCCTCCTCCTCCTCCTCCTCCTCCTCCTCCTCCTCCTCCTCCTCCTCCTCCTCCTCCTCTTCCTTCCCCCTCCTCCTCCTCCTCCTCCTCCTCTCCTCCTTTTCCTCCTCCTCCTCCTCCTCCCCTCCTCTCCTCCTCCTCCTCCTCCTCCTCCTCCTCCCCTCCTCCTCCTCCTCCTCCTCCCCCTCCTCCTCCTTCCGCCTCCTCCTCCTCCTTCCGCCTCCGCCACCGCCTCCGCCTCCTCCTCCTCCTTTTCCTCCTGTTCCTCCTTCTCCTCCCCCTCCTCTGCGATGCTCCCCCGGAAGCAGGCCCCCGTCAGGGGCGGCCGAAGGACGGCGCCCAGCCTTCTCTCGGCCCCCGCGCGACGCTGGACGCCGAGGGCACCTCACCCCCTGCCTCTGGCGGGCGGAGGGCGGCATGAAGCTCTCTGTTCGCTTGGCCAGCGGGGGGGCGCTTGCCCGTCGGCAGCCGGGGAGCCCGTGCCCCCCGCTCCGTGTCCGTGCTGCGCTTCGGTCTGCGAGTCCCTGCCCTGCCCGTGTGCTCATGTCGGGCATGTCCCTCTACAGGAGGAATGTTTGAGAATAGTCGAAAAATAGTCTTGGTGCGATTTTCGAGTGGAGGAATTTTTGAGAATAGTCGAGAAATAGTCTTGGTGCGATGTTCGAGTATTTGTTGACAGTGTTTGAGCATTTCTTTGTCATTTTTTCCCCAAAAAAATCCGCCCGTAGGAGGATGCCCGACCTAACCGTATGCCCCTCAGGCAGACCTATAGGAGATAGGATGAAGATGCTTCGCTCAAGGCCGTTCTGGAGCGGCCTTCAGGGCGTTCTGTGACGCTCTGGAACATGCCGCATCGCCTGTTGCATCGTTCGGATCAGCTGGCTTTGAGAATCGGAATTGACGGAGTTTTGATTTGAGTTTGTCTCCATCGCGCCTTCCTCTTATTTCAGGTCTCCCCGATGGGGACACAGTAGACTAAGACGAGGTGGTAGGATCGAGCCGCATCGCGGATGCATCGGCGATGCGGTTCGATGTCTCGACGCCGCAGGTGCATCGCCGATGCATGCGGTGCGATCCTCCGACCTCATTTTCTCCGGCGCCCCATCTAGGAGGCCTCCAGGACCGAGGCTCCGCAGTGAAACAAAGGGAGTCGAGCGGGGCTATGACGAGGATCAATCCGTTCCAGAGCATTGCGGAACGCGCTCGGAGCGTTCCAGAACGCTCCGAGAAGGCCGCGGCGCCCGACACGTCCTCCAGACCCGCCGGATCTCGGAGATTCTCGATTCATCCTCACCCAATTTTATCATCGTCTTGGCTTCGTGGTCCTGCCCCCAAACCCGTGGGGTTGCCCCAGGACCCGCTCGTCGTGGTTGGACGGCTCCGGGGCCCTTTGTGGAGGGCCTGGGGGCCCAAACGCGCTGCGAAAAGCTCCAGGCCCCCTCGATGCGTTCCATTCTGCTGGAGGACAGCACTGCCCGCCCCCACCCTCATCCAGGACCCCCACTCCCAGGGATCCAAGGGAGTCCTGGCTGGGGGCGGGGGTGTTTCTTGGAGGGGGGATTCCTGGGGCCCAAGGACCACCCCGACCCCTGGCCAGGACACTCTGGGTTACCATGTCGGGATCTAGGCCTCCCAGATGGGGTCGGAGTAGATGGGGTCGGAGGATCGCGCCGCATCGTCGATGCATCGGCGATGCTTCTCGATGCGTAGCCTGCTGTTCCGCACGCTGATAGCGCCGATGCATCGCCGATTCATTGCCGATACGTCTGCGATGCACTGGCGATGCGGCGCGATCCGTCGACCCCCATCTGCTTGGACCCCATGCAGGAGGCCTCTACGGGAAGGGGGGGTCTTGGCTGGGCGTGGGGGGGGTACGTGTGCTCTCCTCGCTGCCTGTGCCAGAGTGCTGCCTGCCCCGGCGCCCCCGCGGGAGGTCCGCAGCAACCCGATGCTCTCCTCCCAGGACTGGGCGGCCACTGGCACGGGCGGCTGGCAGGGAGGAGGAGGGCTTCCTCCATGCCCCTCGTCCCTCCTCGTCCCTGCTCGTCCCTCGTCCCTCCTCGTGCCTCCCTCCCCCTCCCTCCCCCTCGTCCCTGCTCGTCCCTCGTCCCTCCTCGCCCCTCCCTCCCCCTCCCGCCCCCTCGTCCCTCCCTCTCCCTCGTCCCCCATCACCCCCCTGCCTTCCTCCCCCCCCTCCCTCCCCCTCGCCCCTCGCTCCCCCCCCCCCCGTCCCTCCCTCTCCCTCCCTCCCTCCCTCCTGCCATCCCTCCTCCTCCCTCTTCTCCTTGTCCCTCGTCCGTCCTCTCGCCGCATTGGGAGGCGATGGCAGGGGAGAGAAGGAGGCGGGACGGAAGGGCGAGGAGGAGGAGGAGGAGGAGGAGGAGGAGGAGGAGGAGGAGGAGAGGAAGGAGGAGGAGAAGGAGGGAGGGATGGAGGGAGGGAGGGAGGAAGAGGAATAGGGGGAGGAAAAGGAAACCAAGGGACAGAAAGAGGAAGGGGAGGAGGAGGAGGAGGAGGAGGAGGAGGAGGAGGAGGAACATGAGGAGTCTAAGCATACACTTGCATACGTGCAGCAATGCAAGATCGGGAGGGAACGAGGATGAGGAGGAGGAGGAAGAGGAGGAGGGCGATGGGGGAGGAGGGCGACGAGGGAGGATGGATCAGGGGGGAGGGCAACGAGGAGGGGGGGACGATAGTGGCAGCGAGTGCGATGAGTAACTGGGCCAGAGTGAACCCCAGATGCCCTGTCGACGTTGCAATGCGCCCGCCCGTCCTGCGGACCCGCTCTCGTGCTCGAGCCTCTGCAGGGTGTCCCTTCCGCTGCAGACGACCGCCCCGCGGGCCTGCTCATCTCTCCGTCTGGCTGCGCGGGGCAGCGACGAGGCGTGGTCGGAAAGTTCCGCGGCGCGCCCCACGGTAGACCCGCCCCGAACACAGATGCAGCCGCCTCCTCCTCCTCCTCCTCCTCTCTCCTCTCCTCCTCCTATTCCATCCTCCTCCTCCTCCTCCTCCTCCTCCTCCTCCTCTTCCTCCTCCTCCTCCCCCTCCTCCCCCTCCTCCCCCTCCCCTGGCCCCTCCTCCCTCCGGAGAACCCGCCCCGAAACACGTCATACGTGTCAGTCGTACATGTGCCCGCACGGTCGTATGACCGCAGGAGGTCTCAGCGACAGCGCCGATTTGACAAGTGGCCGCCCTCCATCCGTCCGCTCTGCTGCTGCGCAGGTATGGGTTCCGGGACAGCATGCTGACCGAGGTGTGGAATAGCGAATAGCACTTCCCTGTTGTAAAGGAACCACCCTGCTTCTAACTGCTTGAATATGCTATGGCGAATTTGCTCGGCACGAAAGGCCATGACATCATGTTGAAGGCGATCCGGCTCCATCAGGCTAGGGACGATCGGGCGGGTACTAAAGCGACTGCCACATATTAGAATTGAGCCAGCCTCTACAGTTTGGTAGGTTGAACGCATTACGGTGAGAGCCGCATTTTGAGACCACCCCGCCACATTCGTAGCTACCGTGGGTTGTTGGGACGAATGCGCGCGGCGCTACGGCGATAGCAGCGTTTTGAAAACGACCCCCCAACTTCTGTGCGGAGGCTGGGAACTTGAAGGGCGAATGGGCGCGGTTCTAAAAGCGAGAGCCATATTCCGATCCCTTTCCGTGCTTGTATATATTGGGCCGTTCCAGCTTGAGGGTCATCCAGTGAGCGGCTTGAATCAGAAACACTTACTTTTCAAAAGGGGCACGGTCGTTCCTCAGGTTCGCATGCGTTCTTCATCGTTTTTCATGCGTTATGGACTAGTTGCCGTTCCTTATGCGTTCCCCCTTGGAAAACAGGGGTTTCGTTCCTTACTCATCGTCCCTTAGGCCAGGCCGATGGATGACTGTATACATGGGGAGGCGTTCTCAGGCTTAGCGCCCGGCCCGCCCTGTTGCCGCGTCTGGTGGGCAGCCGACAGGGAGTTGTCACAAGGAAGGGCCTGGAGCCAGCGAGGGGAAGGGAGAAGGAAGAAGGGGCGGGAGAGGATGGGGATGATGGGGGAGGAGTAGATGGCGGAGGAGGAGGAGGGTCAGGCAGTAGCCACGCCTGGCTCGTGCCTGCATCACTTGCATTTTTGTACCCGCACCTTGTTGTGGGCTTCGCCGCCGGGCGTTGCTTCTTCTTGGGGTCCGCCGCATTCGAGCTTCGTTCCTACAAGAACTTCCACCTTTTCGCTGTGCAAGTACTCTGGCATTCACGCTGCTGGACTGAATGTTCTGGGTGTGCTACCCCTTCTCTTGCGCGCTCTCTTCCCCGCTGCCGCCCTTCGTGCCCTCTTCGGCTACGTGCAGCGTCTGCCCTAGAACGCGGCCAGGGTTCTCGCAGCTGCGGTTCAAAAAGTGTGGATGGTCTTTCTAGTGAGACGCCATGCTCGGATGGTCCTTCGACGGCGTTGAAGTGGCCCTTCGGCTGCCAAGCAGCTTCTCAAGGTGTATGACACCCTTTTGTGGGCCTCTTCGGAGCAGGGAGGCTGGGTTCTTGGGAGACTCGTCGTGGTCTCTTTCCGAAGTCATGTGGGCATGGACATGACCGCTTTAGGATATACCGTGCCGTCCTTGGGACCTCCTGGGGATGCCCTGGGGTGCTCGTGCACTCTTGGGAATCGGAGCCCTATTCTGCCTTTTGGTGCTCACATTGGTTTTCGCGCTGTTCAGCCCTTGGATTTCACAGCGTGCGCCTCCGTCCTATTAGGTGTTTTATGAGGCCCCTTCTAGGACCCTCTTGCGGTTGTCTCGGAGCCCTGGGGGGGTACGTGGGTTTTCAAACAGGGCCTCACGTGGACCCATTTGGGGCTTTTGGCGGCATGAGAGCCCGCGTTATCAACATCTCGGCTTCACAACGCGACGCTCCGCCCTCTTAGGATCTTTGCGGGGCCCCTCTGGGCCCTCCTGGGCGTCTCTTGGAACCGTGATGGTGCCGATTTGTGGGTCCAAGAGGGTCCCCCAAACTGCCCATTGGGGGCATTGGGGGACATCTGGGGCTTTCATTGCGACGCCAGGGGGGTATCCAACTCTATGTTCCGTGGCTGTCCGACTCTTGCGGGGCATCCTTTGCGCGTGAGAAGTCTTCTTCCACGGAAAGAGCCGCAGAAGGCACAGCACCCGAAACACTAAGCTCGGACGAGGTATGCGCACTCGTTTTTGCTCAGAGGAGGTCCCTCTTGGTGTGTCCTCTCGTCCTCATCCGCCGTCACCCCCTTCCTGCCATTCTCGTGCTTCCGTCCTCCCCTTCCTCCTCGTCCTCCTCGGCCTCCGCCTCTCGTCCTCGCGCGCCCGCGTGCCCACCCTCAGTCGAATGAGGTTTGGGCGCGGTGGCGGGTCGCGGGCCGGGTCTCGGGGCGGGTCGTGGGGGGACAGGTCGCGGTGCCTTGTCGCGGGAGAATCGAATGTGAGGCACAACACAACATGTTAGCAAGGACAAGCTGTGACCAGGCAAAGCCACCGGGCGATGGAGTGTCCCCTCTCGGCAACCACGTAACATGCGATCTCCCGCGTTTTCCCACAGACGCCGAGGTGCAAGGGCAGGTCGTCGTTGTAGGCAGAGCCGTTTTCAGAGGTCATAGGTTGGTCTTCGCACGGTGCTGACGCCGCACCGACGTGGCCGTGCAGGCTTCACTTCACGAGCGAATGTCGGCTGCTCCTGCCCCGCAGACTGGGCGGTCGACATGCTGGCACGAGAGGCCGGCGTGTTGCCGCGCCTTGCCGTTCTCCAGCTGCCGTTGCGCATCGTCGTCGTCCTCTCCCCTGCTCTGCGCGCTCTCTCCGAGGATCCTGTCTCCTCCTCCGCCCCTGCCGCTGCTGCTCCTCCTCCGCGCCGCCACTGCTCATCCTCCTCCCTCAACGCTCCACGCATACTCTCCAAGCAGAGGGTTGCACCACGCCTCTTTCCGCCACCCAGTTGTGCGAGTGGCTGGAACCCCTGCTGCGCGCCTGTGGTAGCAGCAAGCATGGGCGCGTTTGCTCACTGGGCAGAGGCACGACATGGCGTCAACGGGTGTGCGTAGCTGTGCGAGTCGTATCAGCCTCCTCCTCCACAGGGAGGGAGAGTGGGAGGGGGCGAGGGAGGTGAGGAGAGATGGGACGGGAGCTTAGCATCGCTCGGACGTGTGCATTTTTCTTCGGCGAGGGTCATCGAGGAGAATGCTCTGACCATCTTGCGAACCAAAAGCGCACGAAACCGAAGTCGAAACCTGCACGTGGACACGACGTCGGAGCGATGGCAAGGGAGGGGGGGGGAGGGCGGAGGGGGGGCGAGGAGAGGGAGGGCCACTTGGGGAGGAGGGGCAGGAGCAGGAGGGCGAAGGGGAAAGGGGGGTCTGGGCGCGGGCGACCAGCAGGAGGGGCAGGGGAGTGGGGGAACGGGGCGGGGCGGGGCGGGGGGGGAGGCAGAAGGGGGAGCGAGCAGAGGAGGAGCCGCGTCAGGTCAGGCGGCCGCTCCTGGCTCCCGCCGCCGCCGCTGCCCCTGGTGCTCTGAGGAGGAGGGGGAGGAGGAGGAGGAGGAGGAGGAGGAGGAGGAGGAAAGGCATCTCGGCCGAGGGGCTGGCCGATCGATCGATCGCGGATCCGATCGGCTGGGCCCCCCTTCGGCCGAGCCTCGCGCGCCGCCGCGCCGGCGGCGTCGCGGCCGCACTGATGCCATGGATGTTTACTCCTGCGGAGGGCTGCCCGAAGGAGGCGTGGCGGCCCGCCTGGCAGCGCCAGGCAGAAATCAGATCCCTCGGTCCGTCCCACGGCAGCCCGCCGCCTCGCTCGCAGGCGGCGCCGCGACGCCATCGAGGCCTGGCCGTGCCATCATCAAGAACATTGGGACCTGAATCATCGTGACACTTGCACAGCGTCAAAATTGGAACCAGCACCAGCGATCAACGCCGCCGCCAAGCTCACAGAGGTCAAGTACGTCGTGATCGAAGTCCCCAGACGGTGCGGTCACTAGCACGACGACAAGTACGGCGTCCAGTACGGCGACCAGCACCTCGACCACTACGGAAACCAGCACGGCACTCAGTTCATCCCCGACCAGCACGACGACAGGTACGGAGTCCAGTACGGCGACCAGTACGGCGACCAGTACGGCATCCAGTACGGGGACCATTGCGACGACAGGTACGGCGACCAGCAGCCCGACCAGGACGAGGTCGACGACGCCGAGCCGTCCGAGCAGAACGAGACTTCGGAGGACTCGAACGCGGACGGCGCTGCGACCAGGGCGTGCTGCCAGAGGAGGGCAAATATAGAGCCCTTTATCCCTACCCCTATCCGCAGCTCTGGGGTCCGCGCCTGCGAGAGGCGGGGCGAATATAGAACCCCAGGAATACTGCTACAAGGCAGTGGCAGCGGGCAGTGGCGCAAGCCTGCGAGAACAGGCGGTGGCGGGCAGTGGTGCGAGCAGTGGTGCAAGCCTGCGAGAACAGGTGGTGGCGGGCAGTGGTGCTAGCTAGCAGTGGTGAGAGCCTGCGAGAACAGGCTGCGACGGGCAGTGGTGCGAGCAGTGGCAGCGCAGCCTGCGGCGGGCAGTGGTGCGAGCAGTGGGCGGTGGCGGGCACTGGCGGGCAATGGTGCGGCACTTCTCGGCCCGCCGTCGCCTACCCCGCGGCGGCCCTGCTGCGCGCGGCAGCGGCGGAGGCCGCGCGCGCAGCCATGGCGCGCCGCAACAACAACCACAAGCAACACCAGAAGGCTCCAGACTACCAGAAGGAGGACTCAGGCGACCAGAAGGAGGACCCAGACGACCAGAAGGAGGACCCAGACGACCAGAGGGACCCAGACGAGGGGGCAGCGGTGCAAGCGGGCAGTGGTGCGACGAGGCAGCGGTGGTGCGAGCGGGCGGGCAGTGGTGCGAGCGGGCAGTGGTGCGCGCGGACGGGCAGTGGCCGTCAGAAGGACGTGCGTGCGGGCAGTGGTTCGAGCGGGCAGTGGTGCGAGCGGGCAGTGGCGCGAGCGGTCGTGGGCAGTGGTGCGTGCAGTGGCAGCCTCTCGACGACGCCCCCCAACGACCCGGCCCGACGCCCCTCGACGACTCTCGACGCCCCCACTTCGACACCCCTCGCCGGCGCCCCCCGACGAACCCCGACGACGCCCCTTACCGACCCCCCCTTGGTGGCGAAGCTGGAGCCCGACGCGATCAGCTGCAGCGCCGCTATCTGGGCATGTGGCCAGAACACGAGCGCGCGAGAAGTGCCTGATGAACCTGAGCGCGCGCAAAGCGAGAAACATTCGCGGGCATACGTGCGAGAAAAGACGGTAGTGGCAGTGGGCAGTGGTGCGAGCTTGCGAAAACAGGCGGTGGCTAGCAGTGGCGCTGGCAGTGGCTGCCCCCTGCGAGAACAGGCGACGGCGGGCAGTGGCGCCAGCCTGTGGCAGCGGGCAGTGGCTGCCTGCTGCGGGCAGTGGTGCGAGCAGCGGCAGCGGGCAGCGGCGGCCGGCAGCCGGCGGCCGGCAGCTGGACGACCCTCCACGTCCAGCAACAGCGTCACCCCAATGGCGTGCGGCAGCCATCGCCGCGCTCCAAGCGGCAGGATCCCCCCCCCCCCAACGCCTGCTGCCTCGTCGACATGGTTCTCAATAGCGGCCCCTTCCAGCCCGCGTCAAGGCGACCCTCGCAGGCCTCGGGAGCCCCTGGCCCCAGGACGACTCCCTCGGGGCGCGCGTGCGAGAAGGGACGGCAGTGGCTGCAGGCTGCGGGGCGAAGCTGGGGAGCCAGACGTCATCAGCTACAAGCGCCGAGCCTGCGACTCGCTCTTCCTGGGAACAAGACATTCCAATCTCCTTCGAGTGCGCCGGCGCCGCCATCATCTTCGACCAGGTAGAGCAACACATACGGTTCATAGAGCGGGCGACTGGTGTGTTGGTATTCCACGATCCTCCTTCGAGCGTCAAACAAGGTCAGCAGACCCAGTTTTGAGGAGGCTGTGCGGATGACAGAAGACCTCCTCGAGCACGTCCGTGACGACGGCATCGAGAGGCAGGACGACGAGGACGACGAGTACGAGAGCGGCGCTGATGAGATTACCCACGAGGCGAGCCCCAGGACTACTCCCACGAGGAGGACTCCGACGGCTGCCACCACACCAACCCATACGACCAAGAAGGTGCGCTTCATCCTCGAGGCCGTGCCCGACCCCCCAGAGGACGAGACCGATCCCGATGACCCTGATGGCCCAGCCGACCACGGCGACGCCACCAGACCCAGAAGGCGCCGACGCCGTCCCCGACGCCGAGGCAGCCCACCCGAGCCTCGAGTACCCCATCGACATCGCCCCCTCGGGTGGTGAGCGCGCCGCCCTCCTCAGGTGGAGGAGGCTGGCGGCCACCGAGGGGGGCAAGCGACGACGAGCAGAAGAGCGGGCGCCAGTACTTGCTCTTCTGAGGGGGGGAGGGATGGCGGTCTTCCCCCCCCCATCGGCTACGCCCCCCCGCCGCGGGGAGCACAGAGCCGTCACGCAGAAGGACGCAGAAGGAGGAGGAGGAGGAGGAGGAGGAGGAGGAGGAGGAGGAGGAGGAGGAGGAGGAGGAGGAGGAGGAGGAGGGAGGAGGGAGGAGGGAGGAGGAGGAGGGGAGGAGGAGGGAGGAGGAGGGAGGAGGAGGGAGAAGGGAGGGAGGGGGAGGGAGGAGGAGGAGGAAGGAGGGAGGAGGCAGGATGCAGGAGTGGGCTCGAAGGGCTCCAATGCAAGTACCACCTTGCCGCCTCCACACGAGGCATCCTCCAGAGCCGCCGGGTCTCAGAGACTCCCGAGTTACAGTCGGGCCGCTGAAGATGAAACCGAGAAGCCCTTGTCGTTGGGGAGGGGCTCAGTGTTCTTCAGTTGTTTTTGCCAGTTTGTCTCGGGTGTTCCTTAGGTTTCCCATGGGGCATCGAGGCTTCACTTGTGGAAAGTAATAGGGGGCCCGTTCCTTTGCGAGGGTTCCTTCACGACAGCGTTTCCATTGCATCCCCACCCGAAAGGAGCCTCGTCCTGGCCTCGTCTTGCAGAGGGGGTGGCGGGTGGCGGGGAGCAGAGGGGCCGGGAGAGCGAGGGTGCACGGGCGGCTGGCGGGAGCGCGGGGGGGGAGAGGTGGCGGGGGGAGGCAGGCAGGGGGGGCGCAGGAGCAGACCCTTCCGTCCTCCGCCTGCCGTAGCCTCCGTCCCCTCCGCGGAAGGTGCGGAAGAATTTGCAGTCGGGACCCTGAAGAAGGAGCCCTTTTGGTTGGGGAGGGGCTCCGCGTGCCTTGAGTGGAACAACAGCTTGCCTCAGGTGTTCCTGATGTTTTCGATTGGAAATCGAAGCTTAACTTATGGAAAAAGGGGCCTCGTTCCTGATTTAGGGTTTCTTAGGTCAACGCTCCGACTGTATCGAAGTTCATGGAGGCCTCACGCAGTTTCAGGGGACCCACGCAGATCATACCGAAGAGGGGGCGAAAGGTTCGGGCGGGAGGTCCGGGCGAATCAGGGGGGGAGGGAAGGGGGCAGGCTAAATTTTTTCTTGTCGACCAGGGCCACGTCGCCCCCGCCGGCACCTCGTTTCTCTCCCGTGGCAATCGTCTCGGCGTCGCCACGGCTCGTCGTGCGGAGGTCGATGCAGCGCTGAGGAGGAGCGCGGGGGGAGAGCGAGGGCAGCCTGCAGGAGCTTCCCGGCGTGCCCGACGACGTCCTGAACCAGGCCGCGGCGGCCGCGCCGCGTGGGCAGGGAACGCGTGGGACTGGAGTGGAGTGGCCTCCGGCCAGTGCCGCCGATGCGGGGCGCCCCTGCCCCCCAGGGGTTGCCCGCGGTCCCGAGGAGTGCCCCCGGGGGGGGGGTCCCCGGGGCCACGAGCGGCGAGCATGTTCGTGCACGCGCCCTCGCAGTCTGGATTCGGGGGCGCGAGCACACCCTCGGATCAGCGGCCGCACGGGCACACACACACACACACACACACACACACACACGCACACACACGCACACACACACACACACACACACACACACACACACACACACACACACACACACACACACACACACACACACACACACACACACACACACACACACACACACACACACACACACACACACACACACACACCTGTCGCGCGGGGCATCCGCAAAGAAAGAGCGCCATATCCGCGGGGTCGCGGCCGATGGGGCCTGGCCTGCGAGGCCGCGGAGGCGGACATGCGTTTCGGCTACGAAGGGGGGGGGCTCCGGGAGGAGGGCTGCTGGGGGGTCCCGGCAAGATGGGGAATGGGCAAAGCAATCACAAAATGGCCCCCCGCGGGGAGGGGGAATTTGGTACACGGCCCTCCTCCCTACCCTGAACACCTATCCTTGACCCCCCCCAACAGAGCTGAGGCCGGATCTTTGAAGCTCACGTGCCAGAACGGCTAATTTTGCCAGAGCTCAGATGTGCCGACGTTTTTTGACGGGCCCGTCCCGGATTCTGGCGGCCCAGTTTTCGTGGGATGCTTGCCGCGGGAGCTCGCGTCAAAAATTTGAAATTGGGTCTCAGGCTGGGTCTCGTCATTTCGCCTCCCTCCTCCTCCCCCTCCTCCCCCTCCTCCTACTCCTCCTCCTCCTCCTCGTCCTCCTCCTCCTCCTCCCTCCTCTTCCTCCTCCTCCTCCTCCTCCTCCTCCTCCTCCTCCTCCTCCTCCTCCCCCTCCCTGACGGCCCCCGCCAGGCAAGCCCGAGGCCCCCGAGGCCCCCGAATCCCTGCGCCTCCCCGGGTCCGGGCGGCGGGCCGCCGGGACGAGCCCGTGGCGCCGGGCCGTCCATGGCCACCGCTTCGGGGGAGATCGTCGGAGGCCTCGGTAGGCCTCCCGCGTGGGGTCGGAGTCGGTGGGGTCGGAGGATCGCGCCGCATCGCCGATGCATTCGGGGGTGGACAGAACCCCCAACAGTGACACGTCGATTAGTGAATTGTCCGTTTTCGGTTCTCGAGAGGGCGCCGTGGCCGTTATTTTCCAGGCTTGCGCCTGCCAGGTTTGGGCCTCAGGTCGTTTTCACTAAACCACGTATTGCTAAAGGGGGGTCTGTCCATCCCCGATGCATCGCTGATGCATCGCTTGGCATCGCTCGAACGTGTGCGTTTTTTTCCTCGGTGGGGGCCATCGAGGAGCATCCTCGATCGGCGAAAAAAAAAACACGCACGAGACCGAACAAAGGCACAGGGAATGGACGTCCGAGCGATGGCGAGATCGGCGATGCGGCTCGATGTGGAGCCCGATTTTCTCCACGCCGACGTCGCCGATGCGTCGCCGTTGCGTCGCCGATGCGGTGCAGCCCTCCGACCCCACCTACTCGGACCCCATCCAGGAGGCCTCTCACACGGACGCAGTCGGACCGAGGTACAAGATCGAGGTCGGTTCGGGGAGGGCACCCTGATGCTCCTCGTTTCTGTTGGGTGCTGCCGTGCCTCCTGGGGACAGCACGCCCCTGGGACGTGCTGTGCGTCTTGGCCGGCGGAGGACCCCGCGTTCTCGAGGTATGCTCGTCTGCCCCAGGCCCGACTGTACATTTGGGCCCCATGAGGGGCCCATATAGGTTTGAGTCAGGCATGTCCCTCTGCAGGCGGGAAATTCAGAGATGGTGCACACATAGTGAGCGACGATGTTTGCTGTTGCTAGTTCTGGTCAGGTTTGGTTTACATGCTCGTCCAACATCCGCCTGCAGAAGGACATGTCCGACTTCAGGGACAGGTCTGCGCCCCCACCCAGGACAGACACACTTTACTCGTCGACTCCCAGGAAAATGTGGGAAAATATTGGAATTGGGGGGGAAGACAAAACCCAGAAAATACAGGAAAACATGGGGATTCCTGATATTTGTGTGTATTTATTTGTGTGTCTCAGGGCCCCTTCAGCAACGCGCTCCCCCCTGAGCCTATCATGATGGGCCTACTTTCCACCACCGCCATGAGTTGGAGGGGGAAGGAGGCGGAGGACGAGGACGAGGAGGACGAAGAGGAGGAGGAGGAGGAGGAGGAGGAGGAAGAGGACGTTTTGTTGAAGTCGTCCCCAGGCTCGGTTCATCCCTGGGCTCGAGGCCTGCGGCGGATCTCTTGGATCTGCGCCGGGCCCCCTTCCCTGGCGCGCGGGGCGCCGCACGGGGGAGCTGTGTGCAGATCCCAGAAGTCCGCGCGGACTTCCGGAAGTGTATGTTGATGTCGTTTGGGTGTTCCTCTGTTGCCCCTGGAAGAAGCCACTTAGGTCTTGAGGGACCATGATGGGCCACTGGCTCAGTGGGCCCTGGAAACGGCAGGGCCGTTTTTGTTACCAGTGCGTTCCGTTCCGCCGTTCTCTTGGCGGTTCCGTCGCCGTTTTGTTGCCGGTCCCGTCGCTGTTCTGTGCCGATTCCCGCTCCCGTTCCAATCCCGGAGACGTGTTCTAGAGTTTCCGGTCGCCGTTGAAAAACGACTCTGCCGTTTCCGGGGCCCCCTAATTAAGGCTCAGACCCCCGACGTCGTATTTCTGTTCGCAGCGTCGACCCCCAGAGGTCTGGATCCCTTCGCCGTGGCTGGCTTCTCATCCCGAGTTGGTTGTTTGCCAGCCCCGAGGCCCGGCAAGGGACCCCCAGAGCTCGAATTGGGCGTCGCGTAATGGGGGGGCGATCAATGGGGGGGCAGTGAGAGCCGCAGAAAACGTGCCGTCTATAGGGCCCTTTGGGGCCCCAAAGGAGCCTTCAGAGCCTGGAAGATGCACCTTTCTCCCCCCTATGCGTCGCCTCCCCACGAAGCGACGCCCAGCCGAAAAGAACCAGCGAAAAGCCTCCCGTCGTATTGTTGCCTCATAACCCGAAGGGTTCTGGGTAAGCCCTCCCCCGTGCTCGGTGCGCTCGAGGGAGCCCGCCCAAGGAACGCTCGGTGCTCGAGGGGCCCCGCCTGACACGTTTGGGCTCTCCGCGCCTGCGCCCCGCTCCCGCCGCTCCCCGCCCCATTGGGGAGGAGGAGGGGGAGGAGGAGGAGGAGGAGGAGGAGGAGGAGGAGGAAGAGGAGGAGGAGGAGG